AGGAGGAAAGGAGGAGGGGAAGAGGGAGGAGAAAGGAGAAGAAGGAGGAGGAGGAACAAAAAAGCAGGAAGGGAAGAGGGAGGAGAAAGAAGAAGAGAAAGGAAAAAAGAGGAGGAAGGAGGAAAGGAGGAGGGGAAGAGGGAGGAGGAAGGAGAAGAGGAAGGAAAAAAGGAGGAAGGAGGAGGGGAAGAGGGAGGAGAAAGGAGAAGAGGAAGGAGGAGGAAGGAAAAAACAGGAAGGGAAGAGGGAGGAGGAGAAAGGACAAGAGGAAAGAAAAAGCAGGAGGGGAAGAGGAAGGAGGAAGAGGAAGGAAAAAGGAGAAGGAAGAGGAAGGAGGGAAGGAGGAGGAGGAAGGAAAAAGGAGGAGCAGGAGGAGGGGAAGAAGAAGGAGGTCTCAAGGCGCCTTATAAGGACATAAAAACTCAATATGAAAGAAAGAAAAAATAGTAAGAAAAAAAGAAAAATAATAAAACAATAACCCCACCACACCCCAACAATCAATATTGTCTCCATCCCATACCAAGATCTCAATCCTGACTAGATACAGGTAGTCCACGACTTACAACAGTTCATTTAGTGACCGGTCGAACTTACAACGGAACTGAAAAAAAGTGACTGATGACCCATTTTCCCCATGATCGCATAGTCAAAATTCAGACCCTTGGCAACTGACTCATATTTATGACGGTTGTAGAGTCCTGGGGTCCTGTGATCCCCTTTTGCGACCTACTGACAAGCAAAAATCAATGGGGAAGCCATATTCACTCAACGACCGTGTTGCTAACTTAACAACTGCAGTGACTCACTCAACAACTGGGTCAGTTTTACAACTTAGGTTATAACTTTCAGTTATTGTCCACCTCAGAATGGCAAGGAATGTCTCCATCGTTGTCCTCCATGCTTTCTCTCAACCTTTGGATGTACAGAGATTCTCACCGTCCTTGGCATTTTCAAGAAACAATTAAATTGTCCAAGTAACGTAATGAGACGATTGGATTTTCCCCACAGAGAAAAATATTTGAGCCCATGGCTGCGTGTTTAACTCAGGGCCAATTTTCACTCAGTGGCTTATAAACAATTTGTAGGGAGCCTAAGGGGGCCCTTTCTTCTGGTGACACTTAAATTTTGTTTCACGCCCCTTAAGGAGTTGAGTGTATTTGAACTCTTCAGAATCTCCACCCATCATTAACGCAGGTTAACTCACATCAGAGCAAAAGTCTGCAGAGATTTTCAGTTAGGATTGTCCCAGAGGTGCTTTTTTTCGCGAGGCAAGTGAACTTTCTTGTCTTTTTCTTTGAAGATGTTTCGCTACTCCTCCAAGAAGCTTCTTCAGCTCTGACAGGATAGTGGGGAAATGGGTTTGTATTCCTTGCGGACAGCTGGTCATTTGCGTCCTTTTAGAGGGTCACTGAGGCCACTTGGAGGTTTACCTGCGTCCTCAGGGTCACCTGAGTAGTTTTCCTGGTTCCTGTAGTTTGCAATTTTTTTTTCCTCTGGAAATCCATTCCTACTCTCACACCGTTCAAAGGTGTGTTCATCCCAAATTATATAGCTAAAAGTCTGTAGAGATTCTCAGTCATCCAGGTCAAGGTTGACCCAAAGGTGTTTTTTTTCAGGAGGCAACTGGGCTTTTATTAAAAACAAGGACAAATAGGCTGAAGAACAGCTTCCTTAGGAAAGTTCAAAACATTCTCAAAGATCCATCTCATCCTTTTTTTTGAACTATTACCATCTGGCAGGATAATAAAAACAATGATAATACAGGATAATAAAACAATAAAACAAGGATAATAAAAACAAGGACAAATAGGCTGAAAAACAGCTTCTCTCCCAGGCCAATATCTCTATTATATTCTACTGTATAGTGCAGAAGCAGTGTGAGAAAATACCAAAAAGGTATTAATACTATTAGCAGAAGTTATTTGACTTATATGTTGCAAGCTTTAGAAAATACAGGGACTTGCTGAATGAAACATGTAACCTGACCTATGCATGTAACGTGACCTATGTGCTAGATATTTTCTGTAATGTATTGCAAGAGGTGGCTACCAGAATTAACAGATGGTGTAAGATAATAGCATATATGGAAAATGTAGCAAGAGAGCCGTATGAAAACTTCTCCTTTTCTGTCATACTATAGCCAGATAACAGTAACTAGGCGAGTCCGGGGTTTGTAAGCTGATTAAAAGTCACACCTCAGGAGTAACCCGGCGTTCAGAATTTGACATGTTAATGCTCTGAACCTTTGCGCAAATAAACCTGTTTTGCCAACCCTTCGTGGTCTTGTGTCCTGAACTGGTGACTAAGATTGCTGCAACAGTGCAGTGTTGGTGCGGTATTGTGGGTTTTCGGTTCAATGTGTGGAGGGTGAAGGATGTGTGTTTGTGTTTATTTTTCAGGGTCACGATGCGTACTGAAGATGGCGTTTGATTTCGTTGTATGAGGTGCAAGGACAATAAAGTAAACCAAAACTAAACTAAACTTTCTTGTCCATTTAGTGAAGCCAAGCCTCCTTGTGGCAAGACACACACACACACACACAAGAAACACACCGCTGTCCACTATATACAGAATGTAATTTTATTGACTCTGCAATCCAAAATAATTCTCTTTCTGAGATACAAAAATAATTAGAAGCATTTAGAGCAGCACCCAGGTTTAAAGAACCGGAAGGCAAAGCAGGATTTAAACAGGTCAGTCAAATGAGAGCCAGGCCCCCTTGCTCCAGCTGATGTCCTCCAGATGTTTGGGACTTCAATTCTCACATCTGCAGAACACCGGAGTGGGAAAGGCCATTCTGGGACATAACTGGCCACATTCAGTTGGAAAGAATTGGGTGGAGGAGGTGGAGCAGGAGGCCATTTTGTAGAAACCAATGCCTTTTTTTTTTTTTTTTAACCTCGGCAACTTTTAAGATGCGGGGACTTCAGCTCCCAGAATTCCCCAACCAGCAATGCTGGGAGTTGAAGTCTACTTATCTTAAAGTTGCCAAAGTGGAAAACTGAAAGAAAACAGATATGTTAGCTTAGATAAATTGTTTGGGAACTGCTGCTCAGCCAGGAAAGCAGGTCTGCCTTCATAGCTGTTTCCATCACGCAGGGCCTTCGTGGTGGTGACCTCCCACTTCTGTAACCTTCCACAAAAACAGCTGTGAACCGCCACTGCGCTGCTGTTGTCTTTTTCAGGATGCAGATGGCACGTATGTATATATTACACACATATATTACATTTAAATACCTTGGTCTTTCTAAGGTGCACAAAAGATTGCAGCCCCTCCCCCCCCAATAATTTATCCTCACAGTCACAAAAAGCACAATTAAGGCTTAAGAATTGTGATGGCCAAGATCAACTAAACTATACTCTAAATTACTAATATATCTTTAAGGTGAGGAACTTATCTTCCTGCCCCAAATCTTGTCCAAGCGTTTCTCGGTCAGCTGCTTTCAAAGAATGTTTCTGAAGCTTTTGAGGGCATGAAATTGAGAAAGGCAGATCGAAAGTGTTACGTATGGTCCCTTTTAAGGGTCTGGTTTATTTTCTTTTTTAACTGTATGATTCAAAATCACTCCGAGTTTTTTGCGAAGAGCAGGAAGTGAGATGCGAAGAGCAGGAAGATGAACATTCTGAAAAGCTTTTTGTTTTGTGCCTGATTTATCTTGATTGTAATTCCTAGAAAGAGATTTAAAATCACATTATCTTTCCTGGTTTATTATCAGTTCTCATAGCAACATACCCAGCCTTTTCCTTCTTTGTTGCCTTCACAACAATCTGGCTAACAGCTGGAAAGAGGAAAAATGGCTGAAACTTAGCTTAAAAAGAGCTTGTAAAAGTCAGGAAAGGATTTAAAATCAGGACTGGCTACCGTATAGTCCTGTCCACGCAACATGCTTAACTGAACCATGAGGGCAGAATATCTGATGAACAGAAAACTCCAATTTGAACGTGGTTGGAACGTCTCTTAAAATACGCTGACTATTTGAATGATCTATAGCCACAGACTGAATATATAGTGGGTTGAAACTTGAAATTCTTGTAAATATAATTTTTTTTCTTTTAATTTATTTTTTATAAATTTTCATTTATAAACGTTTTTGAATAACATTCATAAACATTTTTGAATAACAGTGCATTGGCAGAGCATTATTTACAAATAAGACACGACCAACATAGGCTGGTAATAAATCTCAACATACTAACTGATAGCAATAGTAATGGTATAATAACAGTACTAATAGTATAACCAAGAGAATTGATCTAGGTTTCTTCTTACACTAAGTTACCTAGATTTTTATCAATTACTACATTTATATGTATCTACCTCTTTACTTTCCCTATATACAATATTAACCTTCATAATCTTACTTTCTCTAATTTCTTCCTCTTTTCTCTATCCATTCATAGAATTTATTCCATGTCCAAAAGTATTCTGAATCATCTTTTGTCTTTTTAAAGGGTCCTTGGTACTCTCTGAGCTTGGTTGCCTTTCTTGGAGACATTTTGTTACCCAGCTTGATAACAGCATCAGTGCTAGAAGAGAGCGAGGTTTACTTTCTGGTTTTATACTAGGGCCTTGCCCTGACAGTGTTGGTGTGAGTGTTCTTGGTGATTCCTTTAAAAACGGTTTCTGTCTGACAGAACAATGACTGGGGGTCTTGGAGAATCAAACAAAGAACTTACCCAAACTTAGTGTCTCAGTGCGGACAATCCAGCTCTATACAGTAGTTTGTACAAGAAATAAGTTGCCATCCACACTTATCTGAAAGTGTGAAAATCAGAGTAAGATTTAGGCAGCTTTATAGGGTGTATAGTAAAATACAACAAAAGCAATCCCGATCGCAATTTCATATTCAATTAAAATAAAACTAAATCTTAAGTTGTTGACTTCCTAATCCAGTGATGGCTCACAGTTTCAGCACCAAGTGCCCAAAGCGCGCACATACCCTCAAAATGCAACCCTAATCCTAACCCCGCTGTGCATGCGTCCTGCCCCCGCGCATGCGTGACCCCCGAGCCCCCGCACATGCGTGACTCCCCCATATGCGCACATGACCCCCGCATGTGCGGCCCGTCCCCCCGTGCATGCACGGCACAGACCCGAAGACCAGCTGGCCTGAGGGAGGCGCACATGCGTGGCAGAGCCGAGCTGGGGCAACGGCTTGCTTGCCACCTCTAGCACGCCTGCCATAGGTTCGCCATCATGGCGCCTAATCCATCCACAAAACACCTCAGAAAAACCATCTTTGGGGAAAGCCATAAAATATAGGGGCCACCTTTACCTGGTGTTCCATAGACAGAAACCCTCTCTCCTTAAATCCTCCACCAGTGGTCTCCCTCCCCTCTCCCTTGCGCAAATGTTCTGCCCTCCAGGCAAGTTTTATCGGGCAAAAATAGATAGTCAGCCCTTGAGACCGTATCACTCAGGTTGTTGTGGTTGGCCGGCAGCAGGTGTGGACGGCTGAGGAGAGCGAGAACTCAGATGACCATCAGGAAGTGGACTGCTGCCTTCAGAGATTGTGGGGGATGGCAGCAGCGATGAGGAGGTTCCCGAGGAGCCTGTGCCAAGTGCGCGCAGGGCTGCTCGCAGGAAAGAGCAGCTGCAGCAGCACAGGCGACTCGGGAGTAAGGCTGCAAGGTAATGGCCCCTCCTTCAAGAAGATGAAAGCCAACTGTGAAGCGAACGTTCTTTGCAGGAAGCAAAGACGTTTTGAAACCTCAGCCTCATGGGCATTCCAGTATCCTGAGTTTGTATTTGAAGACTCTTGTGTTGTAAAATATTTCTAGGTAACCTTATCTGTTATTCCTGGCAGCCTCACAGAGTTTTGGCGAGGCTCGTGCTTATCAAAGTTAATTAGTTTGCAGCAGCCTTTTAACTGGAGATACGCAAGACTCATTAAAAGGTTTCTGTTCCCTTCGGTTCGTGTTTGTTTTATTGGAAAAGGATTTGGGTCAGAACCCAGGTAGGCTAAAGGGGATAGAAGACACTTGTTGTTGTTACTTACAAAGTTGTGTCAGACCTATCGTGACCCCGTGGACAACGTTCCTCCAGGCCTTCCTGTCTACCAAAAGACCCTATTCAAAGTAGTTTACTCTCAGATAGATACTTGTTGCTTATGTTTCTGAACCAATCATTTAATATTTACAAATGCAGGCAACTCATATCAGGAAATTGTAAAATTGGGGAAGCCAGGCCACATTTACAATTGTTTGTGCATCCTGCAGTCATGTGACTATGTTTTACAACGCATTTATTTTCATTTTGGGGCAAAACCATGCGGACCATTGGTTCATTTAATGACCGCAGCATTCATTTAACAACCACTGCGAAACAGGTCATAACCATTTTACAATCATCATGACTTATGAGATTGACGGGCAGGATCCGTGACAGTCATAAGTTAAGATTAATTCTACCATAACTTTGCGCCATCATTAAAGGAGGCAGTCAGTAAACAAGGACGACCTCTAATAAGAAATACCCTAGGGTTGAACTGTTGGACCGTTGATGATTTCCAAGCTTGGCTGTGAATTCTGAACTGATATTGGGGTTTTACTTCAGCATTTATTCCCCTCACCAAAAAAAAACCCTCACCCCGTTTCCTTCTTACCACAGCAGTGTTTATAGCCTCCATAGAAAGTTCCGTAAATTCTGTAGGTTCAGCTGTTTCAACCAGCAATTCTGAACATTCAGGGCAGCAGGGTAGGTGGGTGGGAAGAGAAGAAATGGATTGGTTAAAAGACGAAAAGGCCAAAACTTGACAGCTTTACGACTTGTGGACTTCAATTCCCAGAATTCCTCAGCCAGCAGTGCTGTCTGGGGAATTCTGGGAGATGAAGTCCTTACATCTTAAAGTTGCCTGAGAAACAGGGGTGTAAACGTTCTGTTGTGATAGCTTTACTACTATTATAATAATAGTACAACAGCTTTATACTTTCTCCCAAGAACTATCCTCCATGTTGCTCAGAGTTTACTATGAAGCCAGTGCAGGAATGTTTCAAGCTCTCCTTCTGAAATTTTGCTTGGAAAGCTGGTGGACTATGTACCGGTGAATCTCATATATCTGTATTAAATAAAGTGATATGGTACTATGTACTGGAGTAAAAGGCCGTTGGTTTCAGCCTTTCGTTTGTTAATTCATGCTGTGTGTGGGATTCTCCCAAATCTCTTCTCACTGGCGAGATTCCTCATGGATTCCCAATGCTTTGCAGTCACCACGCTTCCAGCTGCTTCCAATTGGAAATGTGCCAGAGCCCTCCATTAAGAATAATAATAATAATAATAATAATAATAATAATAATAATAATAATAATAATAATAATACAAATAATGCTGCCGTTCATTGAAGTTTCTGATCTATTTTCCCTGAGGTGAGAAAAATCACTCCTTGGTTCTCAGTTTGCTGTGTGTTCGGGGGCCATTGTATAAGCAAGTGTGAACTCTTTTTCACACCTTTCCAGCAGATGAAAGAAATGTGCAATGAAGCCGCCCAGAGTCACCTTGTAAGGGGGATGAGCGGCATAAGAAATCCATAAATTATTAAAAAATGAAGGCGTTTTCGTGATGAAATGTCAACTCAGCCACCTGTCACAATGTGTAAGCTGTCAGAATTCCTGTACAGGTAATTTTCAACTTACAACCACAATTTCCTTTGCTTAAAAAAAAAGTGGTTCAGTGATTTTATTCCCTTTTTTGCTCTCAGCTGCCTGAGGAATTCTGGGAGTTAAAAATCCACAAGCCTTAAAAGTTGCCAAGGTTGAAGAGCCCTGGTCTAGGTGATGCTTAGATAACAGGAAAAAGCAACACGAAACATTATTTGGGTGGCCAATCTAATTTCTTAGCTAACCTTCTGTAATATGGATTCTTGCTTGAGCTCTGTGTGGAACCAAATACCGCCCGATACTTGTCCTCAAGATTCAGACCCAACTTTCGGCAAACAGATCCTCCCACCAGAGATTTGTCTCTGTTGCCTCGCCAAGTTCTTGCAACACCCATTTTATGAACCGAGCAGCACAAAACGTTCTGATCTCTTGACTCTCCCAGTTTTTGAACCGGGATTGGCTATTTTCATATTCGCCCTTTTGATCAGTGTTTTCAGATTATGGAAAATCATCCTTATTCTGCTTGGCTGAGATGCTGTCCAGCTCCTTCAACAGGCTGTTTTTCCACTCTGGGTTTCAGCTCTGAAGAAAGATTTAGATAAGAACGTTTTCTGCTACTCCGTGCAAAAAATGGGGGTTGCAATCACTCTAGGCACCCATTTCACAACTTCGGAGCTTAAAGAAGTGTGGACTTTAATTCCCAGAATTCCCGAGCCAGCATGGATGTTTGAAGACTGGGAATTCTGGGAGTTGAAGTCCACACATCCCCAAGGTGGCAGGGTTGAGAAAGTCTAATTTAGACAGACCGGCAACACAGATTTTTGAAGAAATGGAAACCAATTCCCATCAGGACTCAGAACGATGAGATGGCTTATATATTACAGGTTGGATTTCCAGGTGAGTGTGAAAAATGTTCGTCACTTTTTTCCATGCCGTTGTAACTTTGAAACTAAGCAAACTGTTATGAGTCAAGGACTTCCTGTGCAATTCCAGACAAGTGGCTATAAGTGATGGAGCAGCCACAGCTTCTGGAGCCAAGTCGTTCCACTGGTTTGAAGCGGGACCAAATAAACATATAAAATAATAAGTATTATTATTCTTTTAAGCCCTAGTAAATATCCAGCCAAAGGTCAAAGATGCCTCTGTGTTGCTTGCTGTAGAAATTAGGAAATCTAAGGTTTTAAGGAACTAAGACTCAAATATTACTGTAACCAAGGGTAGGTATGGAAAATAACGGTTGGTGTAAGATAAAAGAGTAAGTAAAAGATGCGTATCATATCCTCTTTCCATTTCCTGTCTTAGCACAGGATGGTTTTGTATCTTTCTGTATAATCAGTTAACCATAATTGGTAAACATGCTTAAGATGAACGCCCAGGCCTATGCTGAGGTCACAATGGTTATAAAGGAACCACCCCAGGTGTAGCTGGGGGTTCAGAATTTGTCATGCTAATGCTCTGAACACTTTGCGCAAATAAACCTGTATTCTTCTACCTTTTTGTGGTCTTGAGTCCTGTTTTGGAAACACGATTTGCTGCTACAGGTTAACTCTTCTTATTGTCTGGAGATTTCTCCTAATATTTTGATTGGATCTCCCCTTGATTAGTTTCCATCTGCTGCTTCTTGTCCTGCCTTCAGGAGCTTTGGAGAATGGCTCTCCCCCCTCTTCTTTGTGGCAGCCTGTCATGCCCCTGTTGGAATCTGATTCTGAGGGGAAGGTCGAGCAGCTGACAGGGAGTGGGAGTGTGGCTCCGGTGGCTGTGGAGGAAACTGGGGAAGGGCACAGTCCGGCTGGGCATTCAGAGGAAGAACCAGGCCCACCTCCCCTTCATCCTAGGGCATGCAGGGAGGAACGGAGAAGGGAGCAACGTGACTTACGGGGAAGAAAAGGGCCCTGATTCCCTTCATTAGCTGCAGCTGGGAAAACAGGATAAAGAGGGTGATTACGCACAGAACCTTGCTGGAAGCAAAGCGTGCATTATCTTTGTCAAGCCATACCTGGGTTCTGGCATCCTCCCAACTATGTGTGTTTCATTATCTTTTGAAGTCTGCAATTCCTTACCCTGCCCTGTCTCGTTAATTGCTGCAGCATGGTTTGTGTTGGTTTTTATTTATAATTTTTATGTACTTTGGGTTAAGACTGAATTTATTCCCCTTTAAAAACTGTTCTTGGGAGTGTTTTTTCTCCAGCCGATGATAACTGGACATTGGGGGCAAAGATGGAGGAATTAAAGGGACTTTACCTACCTTTGTGACTTTGTTGCTTTTGTGCCGTGCCCGGGTCAAGGACAGGCTCCTAACACGAGTCCAAAAGCTTGGAAGCCTAAACCTCTAGTCGTGGTGACTGACCCAGATTGGATCCTGCCACGTTATTCTTGGGACAGAATGTATAGGTAGTCCTCGGCTTGCGATCACAATATAGGTAGTCCTCGACTTACAACAGTTCCTTTAGTGACCGTTCAAAGTTACAACAGCACTGAAAAATGTGACTTATGATCATTTTTCAGAGTTACGACCTGTAGAGTATCCCCAGGATCAAAGCTGTTGCAGCATCCCCTTGATCATGGGATCAAAATGCGGATGCTTGGCAACCGACTCACATTTATGACGGTGGCCGTGTCCCGGGGGTCAGGCGATCCGCTTTTGCGATCTTCTGACAAGCGAAGCCAATGGGGAAGCCTTACCCACAACATTACCAGCTTAACGACTGCCCCAATTCCCTTAACCGCTGTGGCAAGAAAGATCGTAAAACGGGGCAAAACTCAACTGAACGAATGTTTCATGTAGCAACATAAATAAACGTTGGGCTCCATTGTGGGTCGTACATTGAGGACCACCTGCACTGTCACATTAAGGACCCCCTGCCCCCTTCTATGTCAGAAGGGAGAGAAGCAACCTAGAACTAAGCAGAAATTTCCTGATAGTTAGAACAATGAAGCAGTGGAACAACTTGCCTCCAGAAGCTGGAAATGCTCCAACACTGGAAGTTTTTAAGAAGATGTTGGATAACCATTTGTCTGAAATGGTGTAGGGTTTCCTGCCTAGGCAGGGGGTTGGACTAGAAGACCTCCAAGGTCCCTTCCAATTCTGTTATTCTAGACTTGGGGATGAATAAGAGGACATTTTTAAAAAAAACACAGATATTTTTACTGTAAAACTAGTTACCTAAAGAAGTGGCGGCCTCTTCTTCAGTGAAGATCTTCACTTCTTGAGGAGAGTCTATCTCTGGATTTTCTGTGAGGGAAGAAAAGTTCAGACAGGATGGCCCACCAAGCCTCCCCCAGTTCAGATTATCCTAAAAGTTTTTAACCTCTCTCCATAATCCATTTCTCAAGAACACTTTTACCTCTGGGAATTTCAAAAGCTAGTGCTGAAGGCGGTAGCCTTTTTTTTTCTGGGGTGGAATGCAACATTTGTGAAGCTGCCTAGATAAGGGAGAACAATCCTCTCAAAGGCCAAAGTGTGCAACCTTAAGGGGAGAGGAGCTGAGCAACAGCACTTAAGACTTGTATACCGCTTTACAGTGCTTTTACAGTCCTCTCTAAGCGGTCTACAGAGTCAGCCTCCTGCCCCCAACAAGTCCTCATTTTACCCACCTCGGAAGGATGGAAGGCTGTGAGTCTACCTTGAGCCTGGTGGGAGGTGAACTGCCAAATTGCAGGCAGCCGGCAGGCAACAGAAGTAGCCTGCAGTACTGCACTCGAACCACTGCGCCACCCTGGCTCTTGAGTGTTGTGTTTTTGTTTCTGAATTGTGTCTTTGGGACTGGGCGAACTAGGATAGAGAAGGCGGCAGCAGTCGGTCTCAAAAAAAGGACATTTGGTTTCATTTAATGCAGATGTACAATGGTTGAAAATGTAACAGTGTTGGCTTTATTACTCCAGTTTTACAAATGGAGCAGGATTTGTATCGTGAGGTCCGATACAAACATCTGGTCATTTGGCTTTCTTCACCTTCCCTGTGGATTTACAAGCCAATGAGCAGGATAAGCTCATTTCCATTCCCTGAATGTGTTCCAAGGGAGGCCAGACAACTATCTGGATTCCTCCACTGAGCAGGAGGTAGGTTTGGATGGCCTCAATGGATTCTACATCCTCTCTCTCTCTCTCTCTCTCTCTCTCTCCCTGGACCAGGATAAGTAGAATTCCCAACTGGAGGGGGTATGAACATCAGTTCGGGTTGCCCTTAAATCATTGTCTGCTTTTTTAAATTTGACATTCTTTGGTTTCTCCTAAGCTGCCCAGAGTTTCAACTCTTTTTGAGTTGAGTAGCCACACCCATTTATTAAATAAATGTTTTAAAAAATAATAATTACGGAGCCTCCTCGCTGACGGACGGTAGATCACAACTCTCTGCGGCTATCGTCCGTGCTCTTTCGTCGGAGAGCCCCAATTATCATGATTAGGGGCTGAAACTGCCTTGGAGGGGCAGCGGAGTAAGGGGAAGCAGCAAGCCAGATTGTGGGGAGCCGCATCTCCCCCCCTTGGGCTTGGTTTTTTTTTCCTCCCGAAGACAACTGCAGCGGTGGTCTAAAATGGCCACCCCAAAGAGGACGACTCAGCTGGATTAAGCTTTGTGCAGGAGGGAAGAAAGAGGTGGATAATATCTGAACCGGGACAACTGGGTAATACAACTAAACCCCCGGGATTAAGGTAACATAGAATTTTTTAAGAAAAGAAAAGTGAGCGGCGAAATTACAAAGGGACAGAGAAAATAAATAAATAAATAATAATAATAATAATTACACTGGTTTGGTGTACTGGTGAAGGTGTTTGCCTAGAAACCAGCAGATGGCAAGTTCTAATTCCGCCTTAGCCCTGAAAGTCAGCAGAGTAGGCTAGTCCCTTTCTCTCAGCGTAACCCACCTGACAGGGTTGTTGTTATGGGGAAAAATAAGAGGAAGGAATATTACATTGTGTTCGCTGCGTTGAATTGCGTACAAAGTAATAAAGGGGGGGATATAAATTTCATCAATAAATACACCTCTCCATATCTACCTTCCCTAACAGGCCAAAGAGGTGGGTTCACCTTTGCTCCCGTATAGTTCTCACCTGCATGTGCCTTTTCGTGCCTGCGCAGCTGAGAACGTCGGATGAACCTTTTCTCGCACTGGGAACAGGCGTAGGGTTTCTCCCCCGTGTGAGTCCTCTGGTGGGTGAGGAGCGACATTTTCAGCTTGAAGGTCTTCCCGCAGTCGGGGCAGCAGAAGGGGTTCTCCTTGCTGTGGGTGGCTTTGTGAGCCTCCAAAGAGGCTTTCTGGATGAAACTCTTCCCACACTCAGGGCAAGCAAAGGGCTTTTCCCCCGTGTGGATTCGCTGGTGGCGGGCCAGGTTGCTTTTATTGTGAAAACTTTTCCCGCACTCTGTACACAGAGAGGGCTTCTCGCCCGTGTGGACTCGCTGGTGTGTGTTGAGGGACGACTGCTGACTGAAGCTTTTCCCGCACTCTGGGCACTGGTACGGCTTCTCTCCCGTGTGGGTCCTCTGATGCATGATGAGATGACACCGTGAGTGGAAACTTTTGCCGCATTCCAGGCACGGGTGGCATTTCTCTTTCGCCGGGGCCTTGCCGTCTGCGGCGGAGGGATCTCCACCATTGACACTTTTCTTGGTGGCCTCTTGCAGCTTTTCCCCTCGATGCATTCTCAAGTGCAGGAGGAAACCTCTTTTCCGCTTGAACTTCTTCCCGCAGTCAGAACAGATGAAGGGTTTTTCCTTGCTGTGGGTCGGTTCGTGTTCAATAAGGCACACTTTCTGTATGAAGCCTTTGCCACAGATGTGGCAGCTGTAAGGTTTCTCTCCTGTGTGGATCTTGGTGTGCCTCATCAGATTACCTTTGTTGGAGAACCTTCTTCCGCAGACGTTGCACAAATATCGCCTCTCGCCTGTATGGACCGTCTTGTGTTTACTGAGGGCTTGCTTCTTAATGAAGCTTTTCCCACATTCGGGGCACTTGTAAGGCCTCTCCCCCGTGTGGATCCTCTTGTGGACAATGAGGGACACGCGGCTCATGAAGCTTTTCCCACATTCGGTGCATTTAAAGGGTTTGTCTCCCATGTGGGCCCTCTCGTGCAGGATGAAGCTCCGTCTCCAGCGGAAACTTTTGCCGCAAACTGAGCACTGATAGATCCGCTCTCCAATCATCCGTGTTCTCTCATGCGTGTTCCTTTTGTGCTTGGTCAGGTTGTTTCTGTAACGGAAGCTTTCGCCACACTCCGAGCACTGATAGGGCGTCTCCCCTGTGTGAACCCTCTCATGCAGAATGAGGCGGTGTTTCCAGAAGAAGCTTTTGTCGCAGTGCGAACATTTGTGGGGCTTCTCTCCTTTGTGGCTTTTCTCGTGACCCGTCAAAGCACATTTGGTTTTGAAACTCTTGCCGCACTCAGGACACAGATAGGATTTCTGTCCGCCGTGTGTGTTTTGGTGGACCACCAGGGCAGCTTTGCCATTGTAGCGTTTGCCACACTCGGAGCATTCATAAGGCCTCTCATCCGTGTGCATGCGCTCGTGTTCGATGAGGGAATATTTAAAGATGAAGGTTTTGTCACAGTGCGAGCAGGCGTGCGGTCGCTCCCGGGTGTGAGCCCTTACCCTGTGTGCATTAAGGTATTTTTCAAGGGTGAAGCTCTGGTCACAGTCCGAGCATTTGTACAGTTTTTCCGCCGTGTGGATCCTCTTGTGTATCCGAAGTAAAGACTTCTGATTGAAGGTTTTCTCGCACACGGGACACGAGTATGTCTCGCCGGCGTGAATCTTCTGATGAACCGCCAGAGATGTTTTCCAGGGGTAGCTCTTCCCACACTCCAAACATTCGTAGGGTTTCTCTCCAGTGTGGGTCCTCTGGTGCGTAAGGAGAGACGATTCCTGCCCGAAGGCCTTGCCACAATCCGAACACTGGTAAGGCTTGTCTCCTGTGTGGGATCTCTCGTGTGCAAGAAGACAAGCTTTCTTGTTGAACCTCTTCTCGCACATGGAGCATCCGTATCGCCTCTCCCCCGGATGGGATCTTCGGTGTTCAAGGAGCAATGATTTATCGGTGAAACTTTCCTCACACTTGGAGCAATTATAGGGCTTCTCGCTCACCGGAAAGTCCTCTTCTACCGTACAACTTTCTTCCACCACTTCGAAGGAGATCCTCCCGGGATCCACTTCCACCATTTCTTCCAGTTGGCCCTCTTGCTCTTCTGTCTCCTGTTCTTGCTTGTCACCTGAGGAATTAAACAAGGGATTTATCACCAGAGCTGGATGGACTCAACTGCTGATAAAAGAAGTTTTAAAACAAATGAAATCTTTTGACAAAGCACTCCAAAACCTATATGCAAGTCAGGAATTTACTAGAAGGAAGAAGAAGAAGAAAAAAGATGGATGCCAATAAAATTTCCATCCAGCAAAGGAACCAATAGAGGAAGGCTGTGTCCTAGCACAGGCCCAAGCCTGCCTGCCCCACATGACATGGACTTTGTAACTTGCTGACTAACATAGTTACTTAGTATTTTAATTTTATTTTCTCTCTTTTAAAATGATGTTCAGGTTTGTTAGCTTTTAACATTCATAAACTGATAAAGAAGCTGGAGACTAGCTCCAGATAGTACAAATTGGGGTCTGGTTTATCTCTTTTGTGAAATCCAAAGCGCCTTTTTCTTTACAATTTACGCGTCTTCTGATGTCAGGTCTCATTTTAATGAGCAAGTGTAACATTATGGGATGCAAATATGTAACCCATAACGGATTTCCTATGCAAAGGGGAAGTTACTTTTATCCTGTCCAACCAGCTTTCCTCTTTCATTTTTGTTTTGTTATGTTAACAATAAAAAGGGATGTTAAGCTAAGGATCCGGGTTCCCTCTTTGAGTGAGAGGCATCCCTTTTGTCTGAATATTCTGATAAATCGTAATAAAATAATATTCCTGTCTTGGTGTGTCTCATTGGAAAATATGCATGCTGAGGCACGAGCCTGAAACAGCCATATTTGGCCTTCAATTGTCCTGGGGTGGGTAGGCAGGCCTAGGCCTGTGCTAGATCTTCCCAAACTTCAGCCTGCTCCCAAGCCAGCTATATTCAGCCATATAAGGGAGTCCAAAGTCGGTCAGCAATAGTGACCGGTACACAAAGGCAGTTAAAGCCTGTAGGCTGAGGCCTACTTCCCAGTCAGACACCCAAAGGCCTCCCGAGGCCTACCCTTGTCCCTTGGGATTCCCCAGGCCTCAGCCTGCTCCCAACCCAGCCAGTCAGCCATGCAAGTGAGCCTAAAGCCAGTCAGCAGAAGCAAATGGCAGGGCTGGTGGGGCAGTTACGGCCTGTAGGCCAAGGCCTACTTCCGATCCATCCAGCCAAGGGCTCCACAAACAGCCTCTTTATAAAACAGAGCCTCCTACAGCCTAACTTGCAAAATAACATGAGGTTCCCATGAGGTAGGCAGCCTTCGTATGAAAGCTGAGCCTCCCATCATTTTTTTTAGCAGAGGAGCCCTGCGGATGCAAACAGATAAATTGGATGCCGCTGGGCCCCCGAAGCTCAGTGAGGAGCAGGCCGAGTCCTGCAAGTCCCTTGAGAGTACAAATGGGAAGTAGGCCTCAGGCCTACAGCGTGGAACGTCCTCCGTGTGCCAGCGGCTTCAACTGACCCAGCTTCAGGCTCTCTTGCATGGCCAAGAAGACAACTCAAGATCGGGCTGAGGCCTGCAGGGCCTGGCAGGATGGATGAAGGTCATTGCAGCCCTCCTGTTTAAGGGCGGACAACTTTGAAACCGTCGTCTCAAACTTTAGGGTTTGTTATTTAGCGTCTTAAAAGATGCTATTAATACTTCAACACAGCAGTCTAGGCCACTTCTCTACCTATAGGAAAGCATGTGGTTGCTTACATATCAAAACAAAGGATCTTAGCCAAGGTCTTTTAGCCAGTCATTTGTTTTGTTATGAGAGCAACATTCTGAAAGTTCTTCAGTGCACTTGCAACTTTCCAGCCTAGCAGGGAAAAAGTAATGTAACCTATAAATTTTGTCACGGGTGAAATGTTATCTAGAATCAATGTTTTCTACTGTTCAATTGTTACGTGCAATCAATGTATGCTATGGTTTGTTCGTTTATTTACAGATTGCATGAGATTATATGATTGAGCCTTGGTGGCGCAGTGGTTAGAGCGCAGTATTGCAGGATACTTCTGCTGCCTGCTTGCAATTTGGCAGTTCAAATCTCACCAGGCTCAAGGTTGACTCAGCCTCCCATTCTTCTGAGGTGGGTAAAATGAGGACCCAGATTGTTGGGGGCAACTGTAAACCGCTTAGAGAGGGCTGTAAAAGCACTGGGAAGCGGTACGTAAGTGTAAGTGCTGTTGCTATTACAGATGATATATTTGCTTCTGTACTCTAGAACAGTGATCCCCAACCTTTTTTACGCC